ACATAAAGCTTTTAGTGCAGTGATTGACACTTGATGAGGAAGTATTCAGTATGTGTTAGCTAATGTTGCTCCTGTCATTGTTACTGAGTACAGATCACAGGTATACATCCTTTACCTTGAGTGAGAAGAATCAAGACTGAATGTCTGATCTGAAGCACATGCAAGGGTTGGGAATGTGGTTGAGTGGTAGAGCTCTTACCTTGCATGTACAAGGGTCTGGGTTCAATCCCTAGTACCTGAAGGAAAAATAAAAGAAAGGAAGGAATACAAGCCTGTGCACTTTCCGTTGCTCAAAACTCACATCCCAGTTGACTTCAGAACATTGTATACAGTTGACATGTTTATGGGAAAGCATTTAGGATTTTCTCCCCGCCCTCCTTGCTTGCAGTGATAATCGGTCAGTGATTGAGCGAGCACCAATTCCCTCCTTTCTGTTTTTTTTTTTTTTTTTTTTTTTAAAAACTCATCTTTTGGAGAGGCTGTTGAATTACCAGTCTTGTTTCTAGCTGTGTGGTTTTTGTGACTGTTCTCTCTGGGCTTAGAAAAGTCCTTTTTCATTTTGACTTCATGAAAATTAAATGAATTTTCAAGATAATTAAATGGGTTTATTTGCATACAAGAGACACACACCCCTTGTTATTTATAACTTAAATACCATTAAGTTAATTTGTAAAAATTGATGAGTTTGTATAAATGCTTTTGAAGCAGTGAAAACAAGTGTCATTTTCAGCTTTCTTTATATGTTGTCTGCCCTAGGTATTTGCTTTGTCCACACATCCTTATGGCTGCCGAGTGATTCAGAGAATCCTGGAGCACTGTCTTCCTGACCAGACTCTTCCTATTTTAGAGGAGCTTCACCAGCACACAGAGCAACTTGTGCAGGTAGTGGGCTTGCCAGTGGAGGAGCTGCTCACCCCAGTGGGCTTCACCATGTCCTAGTAGACCCTGTGCTGGTGTATTTTGTCAACATGGTTCCAAAAGTTAATGTGTCCTTTGGGCATGTTTTTATAGCTGTCTGGTTTGTGTTTTGTAACTGTGGGCTGTGAGTAGAGCCAGGAACGCTCGTTGTTAAGAGATGATGTCTGGAGCTGTTGTGGACTTTGTCACATTACGAAAACTGTTTAATTTCTCTGGGTCTTAGTCTCATCATTATCAGAGTTGGTTGCTTCTTTCAGGCTTTGATTCTTTTTTCTCATTGTGCCTGTTTTGGACATAAATCCATTTTTTATCTTTATTACAGAAAGGTGCAGTAGTTCATCTGTACATTGCTAATGACTATTCTCCGAACACTGCCTCTTCTCCACTTTTTGGGGGGCGGGGGTACTGGGGATTGTACTCATGACCGCGAACTTACCAGGCAGGCGCTTGTACTGCTGAGCTATATTCCCAGCCCCCCTCCTCTCCACTTTTAAATATTGTAGGCTTGGTAGTTTTTCTAGCTGTGTAGTCCAGGTTGATCCTGAGTTTACTGAGTACCTCAGGCTGGCTTTGAACTCATAGCGTCTCCCTCCTGAGTGGAAGCTAGTGGGGCTAGACCAGCTAGCCCTACTTTTTTGTATGGAATAAATAATAAAAAATTAAACCAGAACATCTAGATAGATAGATTGATAGATAAAAAGATATTCCCTTGTCTAATAATAATATGTTCCTATTTTATGATGATAGGGGAAATTGTTACTATTTATTTCAAAATTTTCTAGTTTTAGTATTCAGATAAGCCATCATACTAAACCAAAAATACAGGTATTACTTAGATATAAGATGTAAGCCACATAACTGGTTTTTACATTTTACTTCTCTTGTTTCTCAAAAAAGGATCAATATGGAAACTATGTAATCCAGCATGTATTGGAGCATGGTCGTCCTGAGGATAAAAGCAAAATTGTAGCAGAAATCCGAGGCAATGTACTTGTATTAAGTCAGCACAAATTTGCCAGGTATGTGCTTTGGGTTCCATGACTTCTTTTCCAGAAGAGAGGATTGAGTAGTAGTACAGCAGTGGCAAGAACGAATGATAATTCTTCTTAATGTTTTTTCAAAGCGTATCTAGCTATAAAAGTCAAGTGAGTTTACAAAGTCAGGGCTGCATGTAGTCTTGTAAGTGGGCTTCTCGCTGCCCTGTAATCAGCTACTATGAAATCTGGGCACTGTGTTTTAAAATGTAGCACTGTGGTACACTGAACATTCATTAACTTCATTCTCAAAATCTCACCTTCGGCATTATAGTGTCCAGGCTTAAGAAGAGTTTGGCTGTCTGCTGTTTATATAGCATGATGCTGTATTCTCTTTTTTTCTTTTTCTTTTCTTTTCTTTTCTTTTCTTTTCTTTTCTTTTCTTTTCTTTTCTTTTCTTTTTTAGGCAGGGTCTCACCATGAAGTTCAGGCTAGCCTTGAGCTCACTTTGTAGCTCAGGCTGGTCTCGAACTTGCAACAATCTTCCTGCCTCAGTCTCCCAAGTGCTAGGATTATAGGTGTGCACCACCATGCCTAGCTGCCTTAAATTTTTTAAAAATATTTTCTTTCCTGGCTTTTAGAACAAATTGCAGGTCAGGTAGTATTTAGTTGACTTTCATGTTTATTAATGTTCACTGTTTTGTATTTATTTTATTTTATTATTTATTTTTGTCTTTATGGCTCAAGGTTTTTCTGTGCAGTTTAGGCTGCCTTTGTAGATCAGGCTGGCCTCAAACTTGCAGTGATCCTCTTGCCTCATCCTCCCAAATGCTACAATTACAGGCATGTGCCATCATTAGTGGTCTTAATGTTCACTTTTAATTTATAAAACCTTATGACATTGTAACATGAAAAATAGAGAAAAGAAATAAAAGTACCCAAATTGTGGTGATTTGATATATAAGGAGGAATGTTTAATAGAAGTATTCATCTATGGTAAGTTGCCCTAGAAAGTAGCTACTTCTGAATCATTAGTGACTGCCTTGCAGGCTACAGTGAAAGGTGTCCTGTAGTGGCTAGATACAAATTTTTTAGGACTGTTTTGTTTTGTTTTTGAAATAGGATCTCACTGTGTAGTCCAGGGTGGTCTTAAAATCACCCTGACCCTGTCTCAGTCTCCCAAAGGCTGATATTGTAGGCATGTGCTACCATGCCCAGCTCTTGAGAGTTGTATGATCCAAAGTAGCTCTTTCTTTTGCACAAATTCTTTGCTTTTAATTTATAAAACCTTATGACATTGTGACAAATTCTTTGTGAAGCCTTCAACCCTGCTGTGTACCCACCCCCACGTCCTTCCCACCAGGTGTTAGGCTTGGCTCCAGCAGTATACATGTAGTATATATGGTTCTTTAAGATTGTGCAGTGTCATTCCCATAGAGGTACACAGATGGAGGGTAGTGCCGTCTGATGGAACTAAACAGCAACGAGTAATCACTCTTGGATGGTAACTAGCCATTAATGTGACAGCATATAATTTAATCAATCTCTACAGTCCCCATGGATTATAGAAAAATGGGTGTTTTAATGGAACCAGGCTCCTCTTCCTTTCCCAAGATGATGTTTTTGTGAAATGTTCAGAAGTGCCAATGTGCTTAGGGTCCTGTTCTTACATTGCTGATAGAGAGTATGCGGTAGTTTACCAGTAAGTCTGAGAGCCTCTGCTAAGTGCCACACTGTGGTGGCAGCAGGAGAAGAGGCATCAGTGAGTCTTGTTCTTGCCTTCTGTAAGCTTTAGAGGTGAGAAGAGGATTGATGGGTTGGGTTAGACATCACTGACTATTGGACATCTCAGGTGGTAGAGGTGGACACTCTTTAAGAGCTGACAGTGAGTGGATTCATTCTCCACAAATGCTAGCTGTCTACTGCTGCACAAAGGCTCCTCTTCTAAGAATTTCCCTGGCTCTGTCACATTACAGCAATGTTGTGGAAAAGTGTGTCACCCATGCCTCACGTACAGAGCGTGCTGTGCTTATTGACGAGGTATGCACCATGAACGATGGTCCCCACAGTGCCTTATACACCATGATGAAGGACCAGTATGCCAACTATGTGGTCCAGAAGATGATTGACGTGGCAGAGCCAGGTCAGCGGAAGATTGTCATGCATAAGGTGAGTGAGCAGACTCTTTATTATTATTATTATTATTATTATTATTATTATTTTTGTCTTTTTCCTTTTTATCGGTACCAGGGATCGAACCCACGACTGCCTGCTTGCAAGGCAGGCGCTTATGCTGCTGAGCTAAATCCCCAGCCCCGAGTGAGCAGACTCTTAATCAGAGAGAAAGGGTGCAAGGCCTTGGGTTCATTTCTAAAACACAAGGGAACATGGATGTCTTGTGCCTCCCTCCCTTCCCTGCCCATTTTTCTGAGGCCGTCACTGGACTGTACCCTGTCTGAGTTCCTTTTCTTTATGCACAGTCACCATTGTTCTCATATGTTTGCCACACTGAATCTTGAGCTCAATTTTTGTGAGGTGTTTCCCTCCCTGGTCTTTAAGAGATCAGCTTATCAGTCCAGTGAGGGAGCCTAGTCCCATCATTTCTTTTTCCTCCCTCCAATCTCTTGTTTACTTATTTCACCAACATATACTGAGCAGATAACTTGCCCAGGGACCTAAATCTGTGCCAGGCGCTGGGCAGTGCAGAGTCAACTGAGACCTGATCCTTGCCTGCCGCCCACAGTCTGGTGGAAAAGGGTGTTAGAAGGCAGTAGAACCCACATGAGTGGCCTGCCCAGTGTTCCCGAGGGAAGGCTTTGCAGAGGACAAGGCTGAGGAGGGTTTAGACAGAGGAAAGGAACAGAAAATCTGAACAGTTAGGTGCCATGAGAGGAGAGCTGATGGAAAAATCCCAAGGAGATGCCGGTTTCAGGGATAGTCACAGTGGGGTTCCACCCATCCCTGCACAGACCACAGGGCCCAGGAAAGCAAAACAAGCCTGTGAGCAGGGAGGGGAGGGTACCGTGTAGCTGAGCTGCTGCTAGACAGCCCTGAGCCTCAGGGGGCTCTGAGCTCCGTCAGTCCTTCTCAGTGGAGGGGTCACCATTGTCTGGCAGTGATGACCCACTTGCCCTCACTGAGGACAGAGTTCGATAATGAGAACCTTTGTATGGACTCAAGTTCTGAGCCAGACAAGATGGCACCACCTCCAGTGCAAACCCAGCCCAGCCCTTCCACTTCACCAGCCTCTGGTGTTGGTTGATGGCAGAGATGGCAGCTGGGGGAGTCCAGAGTGCTGCAGGTTCGGTTTCATAGATATACATTGTGACGGTGTTGGTGAAGGCAGAGCAGAGTGGGAGGTATGTGGAATTTAAAGCCTGTCCTTCCAGTCGTTCACTTGAATACTAAGTAATGTCCTCTATAGTAGGCCTTCCCCTCAGCAGGTTGTATTGGTGTATGCCATATGGCGCTCAGCTTGCTACCATAATTCCAGGGAGATAATGGGGTTGTAGGTGGGTCAGGTAGGAACATATGGGTGGGACAGGATGTCTCTTTCCGGGAAGAAGGTGCTTAATAGGCAGAGACTTGGAGGCAGGAGAAAGGACTGTGTTTGGAGAAGTTCATCAAGTTCAGTAGAACAGAACTGTGATGACGGTCACTTCCACGTTCCAGGTAATTGTCCTGGCCAATGAGTGGGCATTTTCACTTGGAGGAGGGAAGGCAGTGATGAAACTAGATGGGAACAGCTGAACCAGCAGCTGGTGATGGCTTTGAGATTGAAGAGAAGTAGACCAAATTGGGTGCTCGGATTAATAGAGTTTTCTGTTGGTGGGAGAAGTGAGAGAAGTTCTGAGGGTCCTGCCAAGTTGTCTCACTTTGTTCTGTTTTGTCTTTTTTTTAACCCAGTTTTTCTGTGCAGACATGCTACCCTCAAATTCACAGTGATCCCCCTACCTTAGCCTCCCGAGTGCTAGGATTACAGGGATACCTTACCATGTCCAGTTCTCTTCGTCTTTTTGAGACAGGGTTTCATGAATTTGCAGTGATCCTTCTGCCTCAACCTCCCAAGTGGTATCCACATGCTGGGAATACTGGCATGCTCCACCATACCCGGCTATTATTACCGTTTTGTTAGGAGGAAAAGTATGAAAGTTATATGGCTTGGTTCATTAGCCAGTTAGAATTTAAATTACATTCTAGAAGGAAAGCTACTAAAAGTGAGGGAATCTAGAACTTCAAGTTCAAGATGAGAGCATTATGAAAACATTTTTCATGTACATAGCCCTTACTACAACCCAAATAAAATTGTAGCATCGTTGGCTTCTTTTTTATGGCAAACTTTAGGGAGGTATAAGCAAGTTGTGCATTTCACCAAGCTCAGAATTAGAGTCTGGAGTATTTACTTATTACCTGTCATTTTCCATGTAGGTCTTAGGTGAGAATGTAGCATTTGATTTGAATCTGTGCCCTGTGTGAGTTCAAAAGTGGTTTCTAAATCCACTTTGAGGGTACAGCCAGACAGTGCTACACTCCTAGGGGTGCACTCCTGGAGCTCTCCTCTCAAGTACCCACTGTTTCTCTTACCCATTGTGTTGGTGTGTGCACATACAGATTTGAATGGGAAAATGGGTTATAATTCATGGCCTTTTCTTGTCTGTGTGTAGAGACTAGTGGTTGTTAAGAAGGCAGTAAACACTGCTAGAGAGTAAACCAGGCCCTGGTGAGCCTGTAGAGAGTCACCATCTCTTGGAGACTGGGGTATGCCTGCGATGGATCAGCCTCAGAGCAGAGTGGAGAGCAGTGCTTGCTTCCTTCCTTCCTTCCTTCCTTCCTTCCTTCCTTCCTTCCTTCCTTCCTTCCTTCCTTCCTGTCTCTCTGTCTGTCTGTCTCTCTGTCTGTCTGTCTGTCTCTCTCTCTTTCTCTCTCTTTTTCTTGTCTTTTTTGAGGACGGGGTCTCACTATGCAGTTCAGGCTGGCCTTGAGCTCACTTTGTAGCCCAAGCTGGTCTCGAACTCACAACGATCCTCCCACCTCAGCCTCCCGAGTGTTGGGATTACAAGCATGAGGGACCACGCCCGGCTCGTGATTATCATTTCTGTTGTTACTTTTAGTTTTCTGTGATCTCTTATGAAATGGGCGGGACTAGGTGATAAGCCAGGGGTTCATGGTGTCCACATGCAAATCTTTGTTGGCTAGGAGAACCTGGATACAGTGCATAAAGCCAGAGGCCCAGTGCATGTCCTTTTTTAGGGCGGCATTGTGCAGCTGGCCAGTCAGGGTACACTGTCAGTGTGCTGTCACACAGCCTCTGAGCCCTCACATACTATGTCAGTGCCAAGGGGAAGAGCTGTTCTTCTCATCTGATAGGTCACAAAAACTCTGAAGCTCAGGCTTACTGAACCAGTGCAAGGTATCACTATGAGGGTGCATGCCAGAGGTGAGGCCAGCATAACGCAGCCTGTCTTTCCTCCCCAGATCCGGCCCCACATCGCCACTCTTCGCAAGTACACCTATGGCAAGCACATCCTGGCCAAGCTGGAGAAATACTACATGAAGAATGGAGTGGACTTGGGGCCCATCTGTGGCCCTCCTAATGGTATCATCTGAGCAGTGCACCCTGACCCCGCTCCTGCTGACCTCACTGGCCCCTGGCAGGTCAACCAGCAACCTGAAATGTCCTAGTGTAGAACCTAAAACGGGCAAATGGTTGCTCTAGGGTTGCTCCCTCCTCCAAAAAGGAATAAAATCAACCAGTGGAAAAGCCTTTGTAAATTTAATTTTATTACACATAACATGTACTAATTATTTTTTTTAATTGACTAATTGCCCTGCTGTTTTACTGGTGTATAGGATACTTGTACATAAGTAATCAATGTACATGGAAGGCCACATATTTTGTTCAATGTTGTATCTATATTCCATGTATGGAAACTTTCAGGGTGGTTGGTTTAACAAAAAAAGTTTTTAAAAAAAAAAGAAAAAAAGGTTTTTAACTCATTTGCCTCATTGGCAAGTTTTGCAAATAGCTCTTCCCCACTTCCTCATTTTAGTAAAAAACAAAAACTAACAAACAAACAAAAAAAAAACCTGAGAAGTTTGAATTCTAGTTAAATGACCCCAAAATGGCATTTAACACTGTTTATAAAAAGTATATATATATATAAATATATATATAAAATGAAAAGGTTTCAGAGTTGCTAAAATTTCAGTTTATGACATTATGTTTATGAAACTTGTGAAAATTCCTTCTGGAGACTCCGTATACTGAAGAAGATGGTGTTGTCTGGTTTTTGAGGAGGTGTGAGCGCCCAGAGGTCTTTCAGGGCCGGGTGGGTGTGACTGTTTACTGCCTACTGGATTTTTTCTACTAACATTGAAAGGCAAAATCTGATTATTTAGCATGAGAAAAAAATCCAACTCTGCTTTTGGTCTTGCTTCTATAAATATATAGTGTATACTTGGTGTAGACTTTGCATATATACAAATTTGTAGTATTTTCTTGTTTTGATGTTTAATCTGTATCTATAATGTACCCTAGTAGTCGAACATACTTTTGATTGTACAATTGTACATTTGTATACCTGTAATGTAAATGTGGAGAAGTTTGAATCAACATAAACACGTTTTTTGGTAAGAAAAGAGAATTAGCCAGCCCTGTGCATTCAGTGTATATTCTCACCTTTTATGGTCGTAGCCTATAGTGTTGTATATTGTAAATTGTAATTTCAACCAGAAGTAAATTTTTTTCTTTTGAAGGAATAAATGTTCTTTATACAGCCTAGTTAATGTTTAAAAAGAAAAGAATAGCTTGGTTTTATTTGTCAGCTAGTCAGAAAGTAGTGAGATCCTTTCTAAATGTCATTCTGGATGATTCGGTTCACACTAGTGTTTTTTTCTTTTAACCCTGAAAAAGTAATGTTTTGTTTATTTTGTGACAGTCAGAAGGACGTGTAAAAGTTCAGCCCGCCCCAGCTTTCCTCACAATCAGAGCCCCTCTCACCTTGTAAAGTGTGAATTGCCCTTCCTTTTTGTACAGAAGATGAACTGTATTTTGCATTTTGTCTACTTGTAAGTGAATGTAACATACTGTCAATTTTCCTTGTTTGAATATAGAATTGTAACACTACACGGTGTACATTTCCAGAGCCTTGTGTATATTTCCAATGAACTTTTTTGCAAGCACACTTGTAACCATATGTGTATAATTAACAAACCTGTGTATGCTTATGCCTGGGCAACTATTTTTTGTAACTCTTGTGTAGATTGTCTCTAAACAATGTGTGATCTTTATTTTGAAAAATACAGAACTTTGGAATCTGAGTTTGTGCCTAACCCTCACTCCCACACAGCCCCACTCCCTGTCTGCGTCCTGGATCAGCCCCGTACTTGCCTGAGCCTCTTTTTATCCGCTTGTTTTACGGGGAGGAGGAGGATAGGAGCCAGCACTTAAATGCAGCAGGGGTCTTAAGCAGATGGCTCTTTCTGTGTTTTGGCTTTTGAGACAAGGCTGTATGTAGTTCAGGCTGGCCTTGAACTCCATGCAGCCCAGGTTGGCCTTGAACTCATGGCAGTCCTGCTTCCTGAGCCTTCCAAGGGCAGGGTAGGTGTGCACCACCACGCCCAGTGAAGCTGATGGCTTCTGAACCCAGTGAGACCCAAAGATGTTGGGTTCAGCCCTTTCCTGCTTTCACAGTCAAGATTCATTTACATGAAAACGTACATCCAGCTTCTGCGGGAAACACTTCCTTCTTTGGGCTGTCTTCTTCAGGCCTGTACCTTATAGTCTGACCCATCCTTCAAGGGTGCCCTTCCTCTGCTTTTCTGTGCTGGTCTGTGTGGCACATGTGAGCAGGCCCTGTGATTTAATTGGAACCCTCTGAGTTGCAGATGTCTCCAGAGGCCGGGCAGTGGGCCAGGTGTCTGCCTTGCCACTGTGCCTGCGTGGGCTCTCCTTACCCTCTCCTGTGTTGAGCTGCTGTTGGCTGCATTCTGTCAACCCTCCTGCCCTCCAGGCCAGCTCAGCTGTTGCAGAGTCCTAGCCAACGCATATATAATATATATGCGCATATATAATTGGGTAGCTACAGTAGGGCCTGGGCCCGGTACTGTTCTTCGATGCTGGCGTGGTCTCCAGAGACAGCAGTGGTTTGCTTTCTTACATCTGTACACATCTGTCTACCTACGGTTGTGAT